AGAAATAAGAGAGGATTTTTATTTATTTTTTATTTAGTTCATTGCTGTCGATAATTGATGGTCGGCCGTTTTAGGATCACCGGATGAAATTACTGTCCTAAACCTAGCACAGCTCATGAATTTGATACCGATTTGTGTTAAAATTACGCTCAAACCTATATTAAATTAGTTGAAATCAAAGCAAAACTTATTTAATTGCTAATCAGCCCCTGTTCGATATTAGCCTTGGATTAGTCTTAATCCTTGCCGTGCCGCGACCGCCCATCAATTATTTATAGCATTATTTATAGCATAATAATCTTACTTATTACACCTCTCTTACTTCCGCGTAATAATATTTGCCAGTCAAGCCTGTTATCGGTCAAGTTTGATATCGGTGAAATCTGTGTCGGAGATTTCAATCGGAGAATTCAATATATTTTATTAGTATTCATATACAATGTATTTTTTTCACTCGACTAAATGAATTTTGATTATAACAAGAATTTGGTATGAAACTAATAGAGTTTTGACTATCGGAACAAGATACGACGAGATTAAAAAGTTGGAAAGTAGTGCAAGTGCAACAGAATTAGCAAAAGTACATGACGTTGGCGAAGCCACAGTCCCAGACATTAAGAAATGAAGTTGTAATACTGAAAATTATCTAAAGGTCGCAGATTCTTCAGTTTCTGCAAGAGTAGAAAAATCGTAAATATCCTGATGTAATGAAACGGTTTAATCGCAATAAAGCCGATAATAATGATAATTTTATATAAATGGAAACAGCAAACAAAAGTAATAACCGAGAGGGTACTTCCTTATGCTGAAAGCATTTTTGGCGGAAGTGTTGTTGCTGCCAGTTGGGTGGAAAGGGAATGAGCGTTTCGTCCCGGGACTACCGCTGGACTCGTCAGTAAGGCTATGCCCAGTAGTCCCTGCCTTAGACGTAGAGGGAGTCTCGCTAGGCGCGGCATTTGTATCAATCGCTCGTATATTCGACCGCTAGCGAGATATACAGTTTCGTTGTCGTCGTAGTCCTCTGGTGTTGGTGGTTGGTACCCGCGGATCGCCCGGGAGGTGTTGCGCGGCATTGATGCCTCGACCTGTCGGCGTCCTGTTGATACCGATCCGCCACACATTAAAAAAAGAATAAAGGGTTTCGTGTTTCCAAGTACAAAAAAGACGCAACTGTTATGCAGTTACTTACGTTGAAAAAGTTATGTGACAAAAAAAGAATAAAGGGTTTCGTGTTTCCAAGTACAAAAAAGACGCAACTGTTATGCAGTTACTTACGTTGAAAAAGTTATGTGACTTGGAAGCCAAAAAGATATGGGATTTAAATGGGTTATAAATTTTTTTTAAAGTAAATCTGTGGCGGATCGGTACTAACAGGACGCCGACAGGTCGAGGCATCAGCGCGTTCGTAACACCTCCCGGGCGATCCGCGGGTACCAACCGTCAACACCAGAGGGCTACTACGACGACAACGAGACTATCTAACTTGCTAGCGGTCGAATATACGGACGATTGATACAAATACCGCACCTAGCGAGACTCCCTCTACGTCTAAGGCAGGAACTACCGGGCATAGCCTTACTGACGAGTCCACCGGTAGTCCCGGGACGAAACGCTCATTCTCTTTTCACACGGCAGGGCCAGAGCACCGCCAAAAATCTTTCTATTAATTCGGATAAGGGAGACTCCATTGTAACTTTGATTCTTTCAACTGCAAGTAAGTAGCAAGACATTATTAATATTTAATAATTAATGTGTGGGAGTTATAACATTAATCCTGTTATCTTTATGATTTTATGCAGATATAACAGGTATGTGTAACATTGTAACGTTGTATTTTATATTTTTGGATACATTTATACAATATTTTATATTTAAGGGGTATATACACTTCTGTGACTGGTATAATTTATCGAAACTCGAACAACGAGTGAATAAAAACTAATATCTAAAATAATTTATTACCTTTCTTCGACTGTATTCTCTCGAAACCATCGAGAATTACGTCTAAAACACTATTCAACATCGTTCAAAACAAAAGATATACGCATTTAAGTATTTGGTTTAAGCTGAAAGCATTGTATATTTACAACGGAGAAAAAAAGTTTTGTGGTCATAACGAGTCAACGAGATAGAATGTCAACTTATCTTTGCCTTTCGTTGAGCGAACTGTTTAGTTCTCGTTGTGAACTCAGTGGATACATTTCCAAGCTTTTCATTCATCAAATTATATTCAAGTTAACAAGTGTCATACGTGTAGTATCGTGGATGAAAGGCCTAAGAGATATCGGGTGAACCATAAACAATGTCGCGAGAGCCGAGGCACCGTCGGGCCCATCAAAGTGTCGTCGGTCCTTTCAAGTGCATAGTTCGTAGAAAAGACCTACGTGACCCTGGCCACGAGCGTCTGCAGAACACGTGTGC